CCCCCCGCCAGCCCCCGGGAGGGCTCCTCTCGCGCGGGATCCCCTCAGGGCGTCCCTCGAGGCCCCCTTCCCGCTTCTCCTGCCCTTTCCCCACCTCCTGCCTTCGCTCTGCCCGTAGCCCCAGCCAGGCCTCAGCGGGGTGTTCCCTCCGTGCCCCTGCTGCTGCCCTTTGGGAAAGGCCAATCCCTGCCACGTCCCCCCACCTCTGGCCAAGCAGAGCGTCCGGTGTTTCGCGCACTGCCCCTGCGCGCGGCCCCTTCCCCGCTCGTCCCCCTGCACGGCTGCTTGGCATTGGCAGGCCTGGGCTGTGGCCCAGCCGCTAGCGGGTGGCAGCCAACGCTCTACAATGTCACCTGCCGTCCGTCCTGTCCCGGGGCGCGCGCGTGGAAATTGCTTTGGGCTGTTGCGGCCTCAGCAGCCAGAGAGACCTTGTTTGGTGCCTTGATGATCTGTTGAAACAGGGGTTTGCATGGAAAAGTGGCCCCTCTTATTCGGAGGGCTGGTGTGCATGGTGGGGGTGGGAAGGAGCCCACCTTTGCACACAGCAGCTCTGTCCTGGGTCTCTGGGTCTGTAAGATGGGTTTGCAGGAAGCCCGGGCTGATAGCTGGGGCATGTGAGAGCTCCTGGAGGGGAAGCTGCCCATTTTTCCTGGTGGCACTGGCTCCAGCCATCCCGCCTCCCCCAGGGACAGTGCTGTCCTCCTGTGCCCATGGGTCTGCCAAGGCTCCAGGTTCCCTGCCAGGAGCCGTGCGCATCCTGAGCGCTGAACCTACTGACATTTCCATTTGTGTGTCTGTTGCGCTCTTCCCGGGAACCCCAGCCCCACACAGCTGGGAGGGATGCGGGGCAGCCTGTGCTGTGGCCCCTCTCTGCCAGGGCGGATCGGTCATGTCTGCAGGACCCGCTCTGCCCCTCGCCCCGGTGCCTGGGGGCTGTGGCTGCTGCCATGGGCCTTGACAGCCAGAGCCAGGGAAAAGTGGCATCTCCGCAGCTTTGTGCGTGGCTCTCACAGCAGGGAAGGCTGCTGGCAGGAGGCTCCCAAGTCCTGGCTCTGGCTGCGGGACCCCTCTGACCCAGCTTGGCAGGCTATTGTATATCCCATATCCTGTCCTTAGGAACCTGCATGGGGCAGGGTGGAGGCATGGGCTTCGTTGTCTGTCTTTCTGGCTGCTGCCAGAGACAGGTAAGGAAGAGACAACAACCACAAAATATCCCGCAGCCTTGGGCATATGCGTGTGTATGTGCACAGATCTGAGCATAGCACGCAGAGCCACCAAGATCATTTGTGTGTCACGTGGCCTGACAAACGTGGCGGGGAAGGAACCCTAGGGAGGGATGGGAATTCTAATGGGCAAGTGCGTAAACACACTTAAAGGCAGGGAAAGGCGAGTAAACGCACACACAAAAAGATGGGAAGAAGCACCTGTGGGCTGCTGGAGTGAAGTGTATGCAGAAAAAAAAAACATATGCAGGTGCATTAGCCATACACAGGGAGAGAGGGATGTGCAAGCCAGGTGACAAAAACACCGAGAGACTAATACAACTACCTGGAAACCCAGGCAGCCGCCTCCCAGAAAGTCTCCTCCAGAGAACCCTGCCCATGGCAAGGCTTAGATGGGGCTCTCGCGGGCCCTTGGGGAGCCTCAGTGGCTTGAAGGAGGTTGCAAAGGGAGGCA